GGATTCTTCCCACAGGCATGCTGGTTCCTAGGTAGGGGGAAGAGTACTGGGGTCCATCCCATTCCGTTGAGGTTCTTGGCGGTGGCGTAGTTTGCCGTGGAATCTGGATCGCCTGGGGATGTCCCGATCCCTCTCCTGTATCCCGGAGGGTGGCTTCGGGCAACGGGTGTATTTCTGGAAGCCTCCTTTTGGACTCCGGGGGTGGTGGCCGAAGGAGGTATGCTTTGTGGCAGATATCCGGCCGCCCTCTCTTTCGTCCACCGAGGTAGCTCGGCAGATGTGAGGTTGCTATCTCGGATTGCTGGTTTACTGGCATGAAGGGTAGGGTATGGCACGGGTTCCATGCTGCATCTGCGCTACTTGCGGTGCTGAGGTCCTCTTGGGCGTGGAGGGAGATTTCCAGCCTTTTCATTCCTCCTAGGAACTATTCCTCCCCCCCCCCCCCCCTTTTTTTTTTATTTTCTTTTTTTTTCTTAAAAACAAAAAGAAAAGAAGTAACCTAACCACGGAGAACCCAATCCACGAACCTACTACCCCTGGGCCCCTTCTTGATACCGCACCCCATTCTGACCCTGCCTCGTTTTTTGACCACTCTTTGGACACTCCTGATGCCCCTGTACCTCTTGATGGTGCTGTTTCCTCACCCGCTTCAGGTATCGACAAGACCTCGTATGACACCTACCAATTGCCCCTCTACTTCTCAGAAGTCCAAAAAATCCCCTTTGCTCAGATCTACTTTGCCCCCTCCTTCCCTTCCCCCTCCACATTTTACCTTTCCAGTCTCTGTACCTGGTTCTTCCCCTCTCACTGGCTCTATTACAAGTGTGGAGGTTCACCCTCCTCGTTGTGCGCCTTTCTTCCCTGTCCCCTCCCAGGTTTCTGCCTCTTCTGTCCCCTCCCACACTTCTTCTCCAGTTCCCAACATGCTTTCGTCCCCTCCTACTTCAGTACAGTCCATTACTGTCGCAATCTTTACTCACCCTCCTCCATCTATCTCCAATATTGTCTCCCATACAACATCTTTGAATTCAGAAACACTTGAAGCTATATCAGAATATATTGCAGAGACTAAAACTTCAATGGACACTGATCCACCTCCTGTTCCTTCTCTTCCCACAACTCCATTCTTTGCAACGGTTCGTTCCTTCGCTGCTTGAACGTTTTCCGGTGCCACCGCACGTAGACTTTTCTAACTCCTCTAGTCCATAAGCGCCCTTACCTAGAGATTCCTGGTATTTTCCTCGTTGCCAATCATGGCCTATTTACAGTGGAATATCCGTGGCCTCATGGGTAATCGGGGTGAGCTTCAGATGTTGCTTTCCCAGTTTTCCCGTTAGTGTTTGCTTACAAGAACCAAAATTACACTCGGCTATTTTCCAACCCATCTCAGGCTATAACTTATTATATTCTTCGGATCCTTTTTCAGATGGGACCTTTAATGAAAGTGCCCTTCTTCTACACAATGATATTCCGTACCGTCAACTATTTGTTCATACCTCGCTGCATTACACTGCAGCCTGTATCCACTTGAATGAGTGGTTTACAATATGTTCTTTGTATCTCTCTCCTTCTCGGGCATTCTCTATCCCAGATTTTGCCTTTTTTGTTTCATCCTTACCGCCACCAAAATGTTACTTGGCGATTTTAATGCCGCCATTTCCTTGGGGGGGGGGGGATTCATTGTGACTGTGTGGCATTCAGTTGGGAGGAAATTGCCTTTGTTCTCCCTTCCCGCAACCGGGCAAAACGGGACATATCCCCCCATATGCCCATCGCTCTTACTGTGCATTTGAAAAGTATGGACGCTGTAAATCGACTTTTGATGTGGTTTTTTGCACCAACGTCTCCCGCTACAATAGGCTTTCGTAAGGGTCTTCTACCAAGCCCCTTACTACGTTTGGTAGTAGTTCGTATCCTTTACGAAAAACACTCAGTTTTGCCATTTTTTTGACTTGGGGAAAGGCATATCCCAAAACTTGGATTTAATTTTTTGGGGCCCAGCCTTTCCTTGGCCTCCGAGGCAATCTACCACCCTTTCCCCTTAAAAGAATTTTAAAACGACAGACATTTCCGTGTTCGAGCAAAAATTTCTTTCCCGGATTGCCCAAAGTAAAGGGTGTCCCTCAGGGTTGTTTCTAAGCCAACACTTTTTCTCCTTGCTAAAGATTTGGCCTCTGTTCTTCCCCCCAAATTGGTCACACTCTATGTTGATGACTTCGCTATTGCTGTGCAGGGCTGACTGTCATCTTTTGCAGTTTCTCCCAGCATGCGGTCGACCGTTTTTCCCATTTGGGGCCACCACGCAGGGGTTTAAATTTTCAAGAAAAAAAAACCACCAAATTACTTTCACTAGACTTTTGTTATTTTGGTCATCCTTTGTATCTCTAGGCCCCCGTACCCCCAAACGTGAAATTTCAGGTTTTAGGCCTTCTCTTTGCCGGGGGTTATCCGGAAAAACCCTCCATAACATCTCTGAAGCAATTTGTCACGCCGCTAAACCTTTTTAAAAAACCTTGCTCATTTTCCTGGGGAGCTGATGTCGAACTCTGCTTCGCCAAATTTCAGCCCCCGTTTTATCAAACTCGATTATGGGCCCAATTTTTCCCCGGGGGCCTCCCCTGTATCTCCAGCCTTAACTCTATCCATCCCCAAAGGGTTTTATGTTTGTCCCTTTGGGTTTTTTCGCTTTTCCCCTTTGGAGCCCTATACAGAACGAATTTTTCCACCCTGTTGATCGCCGTGTGCCTTTGCCTTCGCATATGACGCCCCACGATCTACAAATCCTTCCATTTATAGAATGGTCACCGTTTTAGTAGACATTTTTTATTCGTTCCCCCCCCGTTTGTCCGTCCCTTTTCTTTTGCCTACTTTCACCTGTTTTCCCTTCAGTTACCCCTTTATTTTTTCTTGTTGCATCTCACTTTTCCCTCCCCCCCCCCGGGAATTTCCCAGCTGTTGGGCTGTTCTTTCTCACCCCCTTTGCTCGAAAGCTAACTGCCTACGGGGTTTCCCCGCTTCTTTTTCTTGTCACTTCCACTCCCTTCTCATTTCCCCCGCTTGACCGATGGCTTAATCTTCAACGGCGTCGATTGCACGTGTTTTCCGGGGCGTCGGCGGGGACTTTTCTATCCCCAAACTAGCATTTTTACTGCTAACTGTAGCATTTTGCAGCACTTATTGTATCGATCCTTTCCCGTGTCATCATTTTTTAGAGTTCAGATCCCTATCTCTACAGGCTATACGAAAAATTTATACATCTCACCCCTAGTTCTCCGTATCCAACTTTGGCTCGCCGGACTCTACCAAACTTTAAAAAATTGTTTTTTTTTGGGTCCCCGGTATGTCGACGTAAAGGGGAATGAAAGGCAGACATGCGTGGGTCAGGTACATGACCTACCAATTTCCTATCGAGGTGTTCCCTTCTGGAATTTTTTCTGAATAGCTACCCCCTTTGCCCCGTTGGAACAACGTTTGGGCAACTTGCTCGGTAACAAACTTCAATCTATTAAACCGAGCTAGGTTACTGGCCTCTTCTTGTCATCAGTGCCGAGGTTGGGGACCCCTCTCTCCGCCCTTTGCATTGGTCACACTGTTTTTCCATGGGTATCTCATGGAGAGGCCCCTGTTCCTCTCTGTGGCGGTCAATTCCCGTATCATTAGCCCATTGTTGACCCTCTTTTTCAACAAGCAGCAGAAAATTTACCTCCCAAGTCGCTTGTTTCTACTCTCTCTTTTCCTTCCCTTCTTGCTGATGCCCTCCCTTTTAAACCATCTCTCATTGCTTCTTGACAACGTGATTTACCCACAAAATTGGAAATTTTTGCACTCCCTCCCCTTTCTAGTTAGTCTCTTGCTCCTTTACCCTTTCACCATCCCTGCCGCTGTTATCCGTAACTTATACCATCTCCCCTTTTTCCACCTGATGCCCCCGTTCCTTCCGCCCCGCGCGCTGTATGTCCTTGTGGCTTAGCCTTCTTTTTGTTTTAAAAAAATAATAAAATAATGTTCTTTCTCCTCTCTTTTCTTGACCACTTCCCTCTCTTCTCATGCCATTGCAGTGTACCAGATGGCTCTAAGTCTTCTGATGGCGTCGTTCGCGCTTGTTACCGCAGGTCGGCAAGGACATTTTTCTATCCTCGGCTGCATTTTTACAGCTGAATTGTTGCCATTCTTGCAGCATTTTCCCTATTGATCTATCCCGTGTCATCACTTGTGGTTGTTTTCAGACTCCCCCTTGTGCTCCAGGCTATAGGAGAATTTGATACCTCACCCCCTAGTCCCCCGTACCCAATTTGGCTATGCCGTATTTTACCCAAACCTAAAGTATTTTTTTTTTGTTGGGGCCCTGGTCATGTTTAATACGGGCAAAAAATAGGGGGCCTGCTGCGTGGTCGCAGTACTGACCCACCCGTTTCACATAGAGGTGTTCCATTTACGGACTATTTTGCTGTAATAGCTACCCACCTTCACACCCACTGGCAATGACGACGGTTTAATCTACTTGGTAGCAAACTTCATTCTATTAAACCGATTATAGGTTACTGGCCATCTTCTTGTCATCAATGTCGAGGTTGGGAGACTACTCTCTCCCGTCTTCGCATTGGCCACACTCGTGGCCAAGAGGCAGCCTGTTCCTCTCTCTGAGACGTGTCAGGGTCCAGTATCGGTTAGCCACATTCTGTTAGACTGCCTTCTCTATCAACGAGCACGAAGAATTTACCTCCGTCATCTCCGCTGTACTTCCCTTCTTGCCAACAACTGACTTACTCCACAAACTCTGATGATGATACCTTTTGCACTCCCCTCAGCCCTTTCTACCCCTGCATTATCCACTGCCCCGCTGTTCTCCGTAACCTACTAATTATCCCTTTTTGCCACCTGATACCCCTGCTTTCTTCCTGCCCTGCAGTGCTGTATAGCCCTTGTGGTTTAGCGCTTCTTTTTCATTATAATAATAATGGGAGGCATTCAGGCTTAACTGAAGGGAAAGAAAAGGCCAATTCCTGGTATTAAGAACCCTCACCAGTTTTGATGCTGATATTTATTGTACCCAAATTTGCAAAGTAAAAATGGACCATTAAGATACAAATCCACAGACAATCTTATGACATTTTGGTTTGACTTGGAACATAACTAGGGTGACTAGCTAATGCTCCAAGTCTCCTATGTACAGGTTATTTCTGCACTGTGCTTTTTTTTATTAGAATAAGATATCCCTTTTTTTTTTTTTTATTGTATAAAGTCCTGTGGGAGCAAGTCAACATTCTCATCAAAACTAATCTTTCACAGACATCTACCAACAAGTCCACTCCCAAATATCTGAACACATTTAGTTCCTCCATACTCCCTCCTTCCAATCTGATATCCAATTTTTCATTACCTAAATCATTTGTGACCCTCACTTTTAATTTCCTCCTTTTACACATCCTCCCAAATTCATCCAACCTTAACTTCTGTTCAGAATCTTCTAAAAGCACAGTGTCATCAGCAAAAAACAACTATGACAACTCCTGTTTTGTGTTAGATTCTGCATATTTTAATTCCACACCTTTTTCCAACACCCTAGCATTCACTTCTTTTACAACCCTATCTATAAATGTTAAAACAACCATGGTGACATCACACATTCCTGCCTAAGGCTTACTGTTACTGGAAATTAATATACAACCTTGGGTTTTTTTGGGGGGCAAAACAAAACTTCACTGGAAATCAGCTGTGATGACCAGTTTGATCAATTCCCACAAACTAATGTATATAAATATATAGATTTCTGAAGGCTACAACAGATTTTGTAAGCACCTTAGCCCACCTGACATTTGCCAAACCTCCAAGGCTATGCTGTGCCTAAGGGTTTTGAAGGTAAGAAAAAACTGATACAGGGAAACTGGCATGATAGAACCAATTGATAAATTACTTCTCACAAACCTGAAAAGAACTTATATATCACTTTCTCTGAAGGCTACAATGATTTTGATGACCCAGGCCTGAAATGGTCCATTTCTAGTTTTCTGGATGATACCTTCAGCCCTTTCTACCTCAATCTCTTGCTACCCTCTACCCCCGCAGGGGATACCCTGCCCTGCTGTTTTCTATAACCTACTGATCATCCCTCCCCCCTTCTGCCGCCCAATACCCTCGCTTCCTTCCCTACCCTGCAGCGCTTCGCACTTCTTTTTGATTATATAATAACCTAGTTTTCTGGAAGCACTTTAGCCTGCATGAAACAGTCTTTATGGAGGGACCATGAGTAGGATCAAATGCCCACCTGACATTTACTTGCATGGAGAGCTACTCATTACCTGTGTGAAGACTGTCAGGTTATGCTTAGTCATCCTTTGATCTATATATTAAGGAGCATGTATACTATTTCCTTAATGGTACCTCAACCGGAGGGCCCAAGAAAGAAGATGAACGTCACCCCCCCCACCTGGGGGGCCACCACCGGGTCACCATCTGGAGAAGACCTGGGCTGGAAGTACCAGCGAATCAACATGAATGAATGAATCTGGAAGGATCAAGTTATACTGTGTATTAATTTTTATAATATATAATGGTTATATAATACAGTATTTTACACTCATAACAAAGTTAAATACCACACTTAAGTTTATTATTATTATTATAATCAAAAAGAAGCGCTAAGCCACGAGGGCTACACTTAAGTTTAAAACTTGAGTATCTACAAAAACACGAATGAATCTGTAAGAATTTGTTACCACAGATTGCCTTTATATATTTATAATGGCTAATGTTTGTACAATAATCATTTCTAATATTAAATCATTATTACTAACAAACATTACTTAACTGTTCATTATTCATCTAAGCAGTTTTCTATGACATAGATGTATTCACCAGCAGAACAGAGATATGGATCCATATACTCCAAATTTCTATAAGGAAACACAGCAAACGTCCCATTCCTAAAATAACCAAGCCTGAAAATACACAAGAGATTTAGTTATTGTATTAGCAAAAGCAATTCTGTATGTATAACAAGCTGCCTCTGAAGCTGTATAAACTAAAAAATGTGTAACCCACAACAGTCCCCAACATTTTAGTTACCCTGTGTTACAAATTTTGAAGATAAAAATTCTCAAGTTTGAAAAAGAGATTTTTTTTAAGCAGTACAGTAGGGCCCCATTTATACGGCTGGTTAGGTTCCAGGCTATCGCCGTAAAGCGGAAACCGCCGTAAAGTGGAACACCCTTTTTTTCCCACTTACAAATGCATACAAACACTAGATAACAAGTTTACACTAACATATATTAAGTTAGCAATAGAACCAGGCATCAAAAAACAATAAAAAAGTACAATACACACATAGTGCACTCATTACTTACCTTAAAATATTTATAGTCTTAATCTAGGGTGAGACAAGTAGTATTTATTGTAAGAAATCAAGTGTGGTATGTATGGTAGTCAGCCAGGCTACCATACCAGGCCACCCCACCCACACATACAATTCTATGATACTTAAGCATCCCAGAGCGATAAAGTGTATATACAGTTCACTCAATACTCACCTTAAAATATAGGGTGAGATAAGTAGTATTTATTGTAAAAAATCAAGTGTGGTATGTATGGTAGTCAGCCGGGCTACCATACCAGGCCAACCCACCTACACATAATATTTTATTACATTTAAGCACCCCAGAGCGATAAAATGTATATACAGTTCACTCATTACTTACCTTAAAATATTTGTAGTCTTAATGTAGGTTCAGGAGTAAGTAAATGAGATAAAACGAATAAATGAGAGAGAGAGAATGAGTGCATGAGAGAGTACAGGCGCAGAGTTATGTAAACAAACCAGGCGAACGTAAGTTTTGTAAACAAAGTGTACACGTCTGGTTTGTGTACATGTTACATTGGGGTACGGGTTTGTCTCTACTTGATACGGTAGAATAAATAAAGAAGAACACTCCCATTCTCATGTAACATCATTTTGAGAAGAAATGATGCTCTGAGTGAAGGCAATGGAAATAAGTCACTCTGACTTTGTTGGGTTATCCTAGGTTCTCTACACATATGTTGTTATGTATGATAATCTATGTAACTGTATTTGTGTATACCTGAATAAACTTACATACATACGAAAGGAATAATTTTCTACAGTTACCCCCAGTAACACATTTTCTCTTATGTTAGATTAGAGAAAATGTTATTCTTGGCGTCCCTTGTACAAGTTATCTGGCTACCACATCTTTTTATTTATTTATTTATTTATTATAAATTTGTGCACACATACAGAGGTACAAAAAAATACAGATAAGAGCAGTATGCCAAAGCCACTTATACTATGCATAGCATTACGGGCTGGCTTAAAATTAACTTAAGATTAATTAAGCAATGATGAAGTCAGTGATAAAACATTAATGTAAACAGATTACTATAAAGCACAAGTGAGTATTACAAAGACAGGTCATATGAAGGATTCTGTTAGGTAGTGTATTTAAAAAATAATAAAGTTAGATTGGGTTTTAGGTTTAACATTTATGTGATATATTGTGAGAAACATTTAAGATATACAATTTATAAGGTTCAGTTATTCAGTATTTATTTGGTTTTGGGTGAGTAAGTGATCTTTGAGTAGAGACTTGAATTTATAAACAGGTAGTGTTTCTTTTATATTTACAGGTAATGAATTCCAGATTTTAGGGCCTTTTATGTGCATTGAGTTTTTGCATAGTGTGAGATGAACACGAGGAACATCAAAGAGTGATCTGTGCCTTGTGTTATGGTCATGGTGTTCTGTTGAGGTTGGCAAGGAGATGTTTGAGGGGAGGGTTAATATCAGAGTTAAGTGTTCTATGTATGTAATAGGTGCAGTAATAAGTATGGATGTTTTGTATGGTGAGTAGGTTTAGTGTATTGAATATTGGTGGAGTGTGCTGCCTGTAGTGAGAATTTGTTATCATTCTAACTGCAGCCTTTTGTTGGGTAATTAGTGGTCTGAGATGGTTAACTGTTGTTGAGCCCCATGCACAAATTCCATAGGTGAGATAGGGTAAATAAGAGAGTGATATAGGGCAGGAGGGCTGACTGTGGAACATAGTACCGTATCTTCGATAGTATGCCTACAGTCTTGGAAATTTTCTTAGAAATTTGTTGTATATGTGTAGAAATTTGAGTCTATTATCAAGGTGGATTCCTAAGAATTTTCCCTCTGTTAGCTTTGTGATAGGTGATCCGTTTATCATTATGTTAAGAGGGACATCTGTAGCTCTGTTACCAAACTGAATGAAGTAGGTTTTGTCAATGTTTAGTGTAAGTTTGTTAGTCCTCATCCAGGTAGATATTTTCTGTAATTCGGTATTTACAGTATTGGCTAGTGTGACTGGGCTCGGGTGAGAGAAGACGTATGTAGTGTCATCTGCAAATAGTGTGGGTTTGAGTAATTGCGAAGCATTTGGAAGGTCATTTATTTATGTTTATTTATTCTATTGTAGGGTGTATTTATCATCTTTTTATGTTATGTATCGTGTTTATTATATAATTTTGAAAAAAATATCATGGATGGATTAATGAAAATGTGTATATTAACGTAATATACAACATTTAATGAGACTCGGTGATTATTATTATTATCATTTCTAATATGGCGTCACTTGTGCAAGTCGTCTGCTACCACATCTCATATTTATGTTTATTTATTCTATTGTAGGGTGTATTTTATCATCTTTTTATGTTATGTATCGTGTTTATTATATAATTTTGAAAAAATATCATAGATGGATTATGAAAATGTGTATTTAACGTAATATACGACATTTAAATGAGACTCGATGATTATTATTATCATTACTAATATGACGTCTGGAGACAATAAGACACTCTTACTGATTTTATGTGTACCTGCATGCCAGCACAGTATGTAAGTTTATTTAAGTACAGGTATACATAAGTATAATTATCAGAGTATATATAAAATATGAAATAACTTTTAAAAACATTTGAAATTTTGGAGTTTCCAGACAAAATGGAGAGACTTAGTGCTTACTGAGCTCACGAAGAATGTAAACAAACAGGGTGGGGCGCGGTGACCGTATTAGAAAGTCAGGTGGGGGAGCCGTATAGCGAGTTTTGGTCATAATTTGAAATGACCGTATTAGCGGAACGCCGTAAAGTGAAATGCCGTAAAGCGGGGCCCTGCTGTACTATGAAAACAAAAATTAAATCAAATGATCATTACAGTTGTATGGTATGGAAAGAAAAGAGGAGGGGTTATGTATAAATTCAAGAATTATGTGAATTAGAATAAGGGTGGGGTATGAAGAGAGTTTATGTACCTGGAGAAGAGAGGAATGTAGAAAAACAAAGAGTCTAAGAAGTCTTAAGCAAGTGTCTTGCACAAGAGAGATGAAAAACTAATCACCAGCCAAAACTGCTAACTTTGAACCTGCATAATTCCATAAGTTTTCCATCAAATTTTGTACTTTTGGTGTCACTACCTTCAGAAAAAAAGATTCTCTCCCATTTCAGATTTTTTTTTTATAAAGTGGACACTGAAAGCAAGATTAATTTCAGGTGTCTGGACAGTGAAAGGGTTAAAATACTGATGTACAAATGTGGTTCAAAATTCATCATCAAAGCCACTTACAGATTTTTCTCAAAAATGATTCATATATTTAAGAAAATACATAGTCACATTGAACATGGGTTGAAATGAGTATGTGGGGTCAAAATCAAATCCATCTATAAATCTGTACTCAAATATACTTGATGGATTTACTAGACCCCACACTTTTCATTCCGCTTTCTTACATTTAGCTCTTTCTATGAATAATAATGCTCCTGTATGAATTTCAACATTCCCCAATTAATACAAGACATTATGCTGAATTAAGACACTGAAAATCTGTTAAATTTAAACTAAATATGTAAATAGTTACTGACCCAAAGGCTGCACAAACTTGGGAAGAAACCAAAGGTGAGACCCAAACAAATTGTACTGATATCCAATGATCCACACTGGCAGCCCATGCAGACCAGCAATCACCCACACTCCCCATGGATTCCGGAAATCTGCAAAAGCAAACCTCAAGGGCAATTAATCTATGTCATTCACAACAGATTCTAAAAGCTGAGAGCCAAGCTTCAATACATCTAATGCCATGCACAATCTCAGTGAATGTTAAAATGCAGTTACAAAACTTTTGATCTATATATTATTTTTTCAAAAATACAGCCATTACTCTTACTTTTGGCCAAAGTGCAAGAAACAATGGATGACATTATTCCTTTTTCTCCATGACCAGCAAGAGAATCCTGCCACTTAGTACCCAAAGTGTGATTACATACAAATGCTGTCCACTCTATTGCTGACACCAAGTACATCATCTGAAAACCCATATTATTATCAGTTGTTGCCCATGTGCATTAGTTTCCTTGAAAATACCTAAGCTAAACACATCGATTAATTCAGGGAAACAAATTCTGAAAAGAGAGCAGCCAGACATTTTTTTAAACCTGCAAGTCATGTTGGTGCTTGGGAATGGGAGGCATTCAGGTTTGATCCAAGGAAGGGGAGGATAATTTAAGTTCCCTGGATCAAGATTCCCCCCTCCCCTCACCTGCATCAAGGGACCTTTATGGGATAAATCACAATATTAATCATCACACTTTTTTCCTTTTTTCTGGATAAAAGTATGTATGTACTTATTTGTGCAGGAGAGTCCCTACTAACAGATCTCCACAAAGAAATTGCAAAGACTCTGGGACCTCTCAACCTTTTCAAAAATTAAATAATTTCAACCACATTAAGATCACTGTATAAGAAACACTAACCATAGCACTTATTAATAGCACCTTTGGGTTCAACTATGATTAATGAAATTCTTCAGAATAAATAAAACAACCTGAAGAGGATGAACAAAGAACTGGTAATCAGGACATTTACAAAGATAAAGATGTTTATTTTGCTACCTTATATATTGAGGTTACAGTGGATGGTTTTACAATGTGTGGTTACAGGTTACAGTTTTAGGAAAGCATTGTATTACATATTCTAATGAAAACTCATTATGGAAAGTATTTTGGGCAGACTTTAAAAATTATAGTTTTTGAATGTATAATTAGGCTGTGTTATGAATAAAGATGGATATTTTTTTCTGTGAGGTATTTGACTTTGCCCTCATTCAAAGGGGGGTGCCATGATGTTAAAGAACTAAGATACTGGAGCGACCCTCGCCCCTCCTAAACCAAACTTGATTACTTCCTATTTCTCAGGTGTTGCATCATGCTTACAGATTTAGCTCTGCCCAGACTAAGTTATTCCCAAAGGCATATTACCCTCCTGCTACAGCCCCAGCAAATACAAAAAGCTCTAAGTCAATATTCATAAAAACACTGATCCTTGCTTTAACCCTTTGACTGTTTCGGTCGTACATACATGTCTTGCAAACCAACGTGTTTGATGTATATATACTCAAAAATTCTAGTGGCTTCAAATCAAGCGGGAAAAAGCTGGTAGACCCACATGTGAGAGAATGGGTCTGTCTAGTCAGTGTGCGCAGTATAAAAAAAATCCTGCAGCAAACAGTGCACAATAAGAAAAAAAAAGCTCCATGTTTCTGGATTAAAACACCGATTTGTGAGGCATATTTTTGTATAGTTTTTATGGTTATATTCTCGTTTTCGTAGTTGCATTTGATAGAATGGAAAACATTATAGAAATGGAGGTGATTTTGATTGGTTTTACTATGAAAAGGACCTTGAAATCGAGCTCAAAGTAGGGGAAATATTTGATTTTTGCCGATGTTCAAGAGTAAACAAATGATGTTATTATCCAATAAATGTCCAACTATCCATTCTAATATGCAATCCTGAATGGGTTGACATTATTTATACAATTATTGCAGTAGTCTGCATAAGAGTAAATCTATTTTTTAAATAAAAATTCAAAATGGAAAGCAAGAGTAATGTCAGAGGGGCCTGGAGATGTGACTGATGAACAAAGAAAATGTTATTTTAGAGCCAGGAATGTCTGCACTGCTCATTCTGGACCCTATTTTGAAATTGGCATATTTTTTAATTTGCATGAAATTGGCCAAATTGCCAATTTCTGACCATTTTACTGGGTAGTTGAAATCGGTAAATGGGCAGTTTCTTGTACTCAATCGATAGAACAAATGGAGTTCTAAAGAAATAGCTATGAGTTTGGTCGACTGGAACAATGGAATTAGCCAAAAATAGGGCTCACAGTGGGCGAAATCGCCGATTTGTAAATATCTCCGAGGTTGCTAATTTCGTGAGAGGGTAATTCAATAAGTGTTCCATCAAATTTCATACTTTTGGTGTCATTACCATCGGGAAAAGATTCTCTATCATTTCATGAGAATTTTTTTTTTTTTTTTCAAATATTTTGCGACACCAGGAGACACCTTAGGATTTGGGGTTGCGACAGTCAAAGGGTTAAGAATGGCATTAGAACCAAGCTACCCTTCCAATATGATACTTATTCCTATTCTCATGTTGCATCAAGTACATTACAGTAACGAGGAGGAATCTCTTCAATAACATGAGACAGCTTACCACTGGAAACAAATTTCTATTTTCTGAAATTCTAGCAACACCAGAAACCTGCCTATGCCCAAAATACTCTTCAAAGCCAGGCATTAACTTTCATGCAACCCACAGTGAGGAAAAGGAGATCAGTTCCATGCCATTCCAGAGAGTAACAGTTCAGAGACTGTCCCGTCCCACTAATGGAGGTGTTCACTGCCAAGATGGTCCACAGTCAAATTCACAACTGTTTGTTGCTTGCTCACTGGGAGACAGAGGGCACATACAAGCACACATGCACACACACATTGATATAACATACAAAATACTCATTAAAATTGATAAGGTAGGCAGGGACAGGTTATTTCAGGCGAGAAACAGGAACTCGGGGACACAGCTGGAAGTTAGAGACACTGATGAGCCACGGGGATATCAGGAAGACTTTCTTCAGTCTCAGGGTGGATGAGTAAGACATGTGCTACTGTTGGGTATCTTTACTGCTGAAACATTTTGCGTACACGGTAGGTGTCCTCAGTCAAATACAGAGGAAAATAAATATGGGGAATGCAGGAGCAGTGGGGAAGCAAAGTTGATGTGGTCAATCCATCAACCTTAAAGTTCTTGAGGTGGTCAATCCCTCTGCCTGAAGAAAATTTCAGCTCCATGGTCTGGAACAAGGTGAAGCTGAAGCACAAGAATGGATCTCATACATATAAGTATTGTCTTACTTATTGTCTGATACACCAACCCAAAAGTACCTTGGTACAGAGGACATCTTCCACAATTTTATCGCTTAACCACCAGTTGTGAATGAGAAGGGTTTGACTCGAGAGGGACTTGCACAGCATAGGCCAGTAGGCTTGCTGCAGTGCTCCTCAATTTTTACTTTCTTGTTGCTACTAGCAGACCCTGCTTCTGCAACATCAAGACTTTCTACACCTCACCTTTGGCAGTATACGAGATCCATTCTCATCCTTCACACTGTTCCATACTATGGAGCTGAACTCTTCTTTGGGTAAAGGGACTGACTACCTTAATTAAGAACTCCTTTAAGGTCAATGGACTCATCACATAGTCTTTGCCTCATTCCTGCTCCTGCTGTCTCCATATTTATTCTCTATTTGAAAAAGACTGCCATATAGGTGAAAGGTTTCAACATTAAAGATACCCAACCACTGCATATGTGCCCTACTCATCTGCTTGTTGATACTGTATACCATTTTCATGATTAAAGTCTTAATGTGGTTGAAAAAAGGAATGATCTCTATGAAGAAGTGGTGAAGGCAGGCTCCATACATGGATTTAAAAACAGATATGCATGCACACACACACACCTACCTTACTCTGCTCTGGTGGCCTGGTGGTTAACGCTCGCTTCACACGGCGAGGGCCTGGGTTCGATTCCCAGCCAGAGTAGAAACATTGGACGTGTTTCTTTCCACCTGTTGTCTATGTTCCCCATCAGTAAAATGGGTACCTGGGTGTTAGTCGACTGGTGTGGGTCGCATCCCGGGACACTGACCTAATTTGCCCGAAATGCAGAGCATAACAAGGGAGTTTCTATATAGAAGTATGTCATTGTTGTCAGCTAGGACTGTATACCTTGTACATGTACTTGTAGTAAATAAAGATATTATTATTATTATTTACTCATACTGTGCATAACTGAGACAACCAGACAAACACAGAAGATGCATACAATACACAGCAGCTTTAGATGCATTTCACCCAACTGTTTGAGATTTCTCATCCAGACTAATCTCTCAGTGCTTGCAGCTGAAGCTACAAAACTCACATCACAACAAGACTAGTCATCCATTCCACCATAATGCTTACTTCAGCTAATGTCAATGAGCCAACTTCACCTGTTTTACTACATTTTCCTCATTCGCAATCTTTTAAGCCTCCATCACATTATGGGACATATCTCCCACACAGTACTCAACAAATCCCCTGTGGTACCGACATCAGTTTCTGATGCCCAACAACACATGTCTGCCTCCTGACTACTTCACCTCTGGCCTGTAGCTGCATATTTACATTATCCAATTTTTATTTTCCTAATAAATTTTGGTCAAAACGTCAGTTACCTTTCCCAACACCTTAACCCTAAAATATATACAAAATAAATGGAACTTCAATATGTAAAACAAAAGAGTGAATTTGAGAAGTAAAAATTACAAAGAGTAGAGTGAATCAGATTAAAAAAAAACAAAAGAAACATGCTACATATAAGATAACTTCAATTCTGAGAATGTCACTATTCCAAGAAATAAAAGAAAATGACAAAAGAATCCAAAGCCACCTACATAATGTTTTAAAGTGAAAGTGACCAAGATACTTAGTACCTAGAAAAGTGCTGTACTTACAGGATGAATAAGAGTCCAGAGCAGACCCCGACTCAGGTTATCAAGCACAACATCAAACTAAAAAATGAGCGCAGAACACAATTAATACCTTAAAAGGTATAATTCTCTAAAAAATTATCATATATTGAGAATCAAGTGCAATACAGTACTGTACGTATATCATCCATAAAAAGTATTCATTTATAGTGTAAATAATAATAAATTATACAAATACATATCTAGATCTTTCAATATATATACATATCTCTCAACAAACCAGCTGTATCCCACTGAGGCAGGGTGTCACAAAAAAGAAAAACAATATACTATATATAAATATATATATACAGTGGACCCCCGCTTAACGATCACCTCCCAATGCGACCAATTATGCAAGTGTATTTATGTAAGTGCATTTGTACGTGTATGTTTGGGGGCCTGAAATGGACTAATCTACTTCACAATATTCCTTATGGGAAAAAATTCGGCCAGTACTGGCACCTGAATATACTTCTGGAATGAAAAAATATCGTTAACCGGGGGTCCACTGTGTATATATATATATATAGGCATAGGCAATGGGGTCGAAGAGGTATGGGGTAGGTTTAAAAATGTAGTGTTAGAGTGTTCAGCAGAAGTTTGTGGTTACAGGAAAGTGGGTGCAGGAGGGAAGAGGAGCGATTGGTGGAATGATGATGTAAAGAGAGTAGTAAGGGAGAAAAAGTTAGCATATGAGAAGTTTTTACAAAGTAGAAGTGATGCAAGGAGGGAAGAGTATATGGAGAAAAAGAGAGAAGTTAAGAGAGTGGTGAAGCAATGTAAAAAGAGAGCAAATGAGAGAGTGGGTGAGATGTTATCAACAAATTTTGTTGAAAATAAGAAAAAGTTTTGGAGTGAGATTAACAAGTTAAGAAAGCCTAGAGAACAAATGGATTTGTCAGTTAAAAATAGGAGAGGAGGGGTTATTAAATGGAGAGTTAGAGGTATTGGGAAGATGGAAGGAATATTTTGAGGAATTGTTAAATGTTGATGAAGATAGGGAAGCTGTGATTTCGTGTATAGGGCAAGGAGGAATAACATCTTGTAGGAGTGAGGAAGAGCCAGTTGTGAGTGTGGGGGAAGTTCGTGAGGCAGTAGGCAAAATGAAAGGGGGTAAGGCAGCCGGGATTGATGGGATAAAGATAGAAATGTTAAAAGCAGGTGGGGATATAGTTTTGGAGTGGTTGGTGCAATTATTTAATAAATGTATGGAAGAGGGTAAGGTACCTAGGGATTGGCAGAGAGCATGCATAGTTCCTTTGTATAAAGGCAAAGGGGATAAAAGAGAGTGCAAAAATTATAGGGGGATAAGTCTGTTGAGTGTACCTGGTAAAGTGTATGGTAGAGTTATAATTGAAAGAATTAAGAGTAAGACGGAGAATAGGATAGCAGATGAACAAGGAGGCTTTAGGAAAGGTAGGGGGTGTGTGACCAGGTGTTTACAGTGAAACATATAAGTGAACAGTATTTAGATAAGGCTAAAGAGGTCTTTGTGGCATTTATGGATTTGGAAAAGGCGTATGACAGGGTGGATAGGGGGGCAATGTGGCAGATGTTGCAAGTGTATGGTGTAGGAGGTAGGTTACTGAAAGCAGTGAAGAGTTTTTACGAGGATAGTGAGGCTCAAGTTAGAGTATGTAGGAAAGAGGGAAATTTTTTTCCCAGTAAAAGTAGGCCTTAGACAAGGATGTGTGATGTCACCGTGGTTGTTTAATATATTTATAGATGGGGTTGTAAGAGAAGTAAATGCGAGGGTCTTGGCAAGAGGCGTGGAGTTAAAAGATAAAGAATCACACACAAAGTGGGAGTTGTCACAGCTGCTCTTTGCTGATGGCACTGTGCTCTTGGGAGATTCTGAAGAGAAGTTGCAGAGATTGGTGGATGAATTTGGTAGGGTGTGCAAAAGAAGAAAATTAAAGGTGAATACAGGAAAGAGTAAGGTTATGAGGATAACAAAAAGATTAGGTGATGAAAGATTGAATATCAGATTGGAGGGAGAGAGTATGGAGGAGGTGAACGTATTCAGATATTTGGGAGTGGACGTGTCAGCGGATGGGTCTATGAAAGATGAGGTGAATCATAGAATTGATGAGGGAAAAAGAGTGAGTGGTGCACTTAGGAGTCTGTGGAGACAAAGAACTTTGTCCTTGGAGGCAAAGAGGGGAATGTATGAGAGTATAGTTTTACCAACGCTCTTATATGGGTGTGAAGCGTGGGTGATGAATGTTGCAGCGAGGAGAAGGCTGGAGGCAGTGGAGATGTCATGTCTGAGGGCAATGTGTGGTGTGAATATAATGCAGAGAATTCGTAGTTTGGAAGTTAGGAGGAGGTGCGGGAATTACCAAAACTGTTGTCCAGAGGGCTGAGGAAGGTTGTTGAGGTGGTTCGGACATGTAGAGAGAATGGAGCGAAACAGAATGACTTCAAGAGTGTATCAGTCTGTAGTGGAAGGAAGGCGGGTAGGGGTCGGCCTAGGAAGGGTTGGAGGGAGGGGGTAAAGGAGGTTTTGTGTGCGAGGGGCTTGGACTTCCAGCAGGCATGCGTGAGCGTGTTTGATAGGAGTGAATGGAGACAAATGGTTTTTAATACTTGACGTGCTGTTGGAGTGTGAGCAAAGTAACATTTATGAAGGGATTCAGGGAAACCGGCAGGCCGGACTTGAGTTCTGGAGATGGGAAGTACAGTGCCTGCACTCTGAAGGAGGGGTGTTAATGTTGCAGTTTTAAAAACTGTAGTGTAAAGCACCCTTCTGGCAAGACAGTGATGGAAAGAAATATATATACACACAAAACAACCACTGCAAAAGAACAATGAAATTCCAAGCGCTTTCGTGACCTCTCACATTGTCAAGGAACTATAAAAACAATACATCAAAAGAAGGCATATAAAGGTCAAGATCACACCTCACCATCACATCCCACAACAAAGTATACACCTGACATGCAACGACATCCAACTCATAGGAAAGGAACACTGCAGCAGGCCTGTTGGCCCCAACTAGGCAGGTCCTCACAGCATCCCACTAACAAAGCACTCTACCCAAGAAATAAGATTTACTATTTGTCCAATGCATTATTAAATTCTTCCCAAATTTTATTAATTATAAATGAATCTAATTTATATAAATCAAAGGAAATATTCATATTATTTTCAAATCTGCTTTTTATAAAACATGGTTCAATTACATTCCTTTTGACTATGGACTTGCTTGATACAACTTTCTCAACTTTTTGAAAGTCAATTGGATGGTTAAAATCTCTCACATGAATAAATAAGAGCATTAGAATTTTGTCCAGTTCTAATGCTATATTTATGTTGTTTTAATCTTAGTTCGAGACTTTTACCAGTTTGACCATAATAAACTATCACAAATTTTACATGGGATCTTATAGACACATCCATCAGCATTTTGGGGGGAATTCTTGATCAAAAGTTTTTTTTACTGTATCACGATTTTTAAATACAACTTTGACATTAAAAGTCTTAAGAAGAGAAGGAATATCAACCATCTTCTTAAGACTTTTAATATCAAAGTTGTATTTAAAAATCTTGAGACTTATATTAGCAGTGTGAGAGGGGGAGCCCAGACTGCCTGTGTTGCCTGTTCGTAGACCTAAGCATGGAGTGAGGAGGAAGCCGGGAGCGCAGCGCTCGCATGCGGCATCAGGTGACGTCACACAAGCTAGTCACTGAGCCCAGCAAGGGATCAACTATGTAAAACATATAGATGGTACTAACTATGATACTCAGATAACATATACATATACAGGGGATCAGCAACTATGCTGACAAATTAGCCTCCCCTTAGCGGTATTTTCATATGGTTTTTATGGTTGTATTCTCGTTTTTTGGTCTCCTTTGATAGATTGGAAGATATATTACAGAACTAGATATGATTCTGATTTGTTTCACGATGAAAAGTACCTTGAAATTAAGCTCAAAGTACATACCAGGAATGTTCGATTCTTTGGCGAAGTTCAAGAGTAAGCAAATGACATCACTGTCCGTTCCAATATGCAGTCGTGAATGTGTTGACATTATTTATACAATTATGTATTACAATAATGCTGTAGTTTGCGTAACAGTAAATCTTATATTTTTTGTGTGAATAAAAATTACAAATTATTTATATTGTAATAATAATAATAATAATAATAATAATAATACATATACATAATAATAATAGTATAAAATTATAATATTATAATACTGTACATGTAATAAAATAGTGTATGTATAATAATAAATGTATACGTAGGGCCCCACTTATACGGCAGGTTAGGTTCCAGGCTACCGCCGTAAAGTGGAACACCCTTTTTTTTTCACTTATAAATGCATACAAATACTAGATAACAAGTTTACACTAAAATATATTAAGTTAGCAATAGAACTAGGCATCAAAAAACAATAAAAAAGTACAATACACACATAGTGCACTCATTACTTACCTTAAAATATTTGTAGTCTTAATCTAGGGTGAGATGATTAGTATTTATTGTAGGAAATCAAGTGTGGTACGTATATGTATGGTAGCCAGCCGGGCTACCATACCAGGCCAACCCACCCACAAATATTCTATGATATTTAAGCATCCCAGAGTGATAAAATGTATATACAGTTCACTCATTACTTACCTTAAAATATTTGTAGTCTTAATGCATGGTCAGGAGTAAGTAAATGAGATAAAACGAATAAATGAGAAAGAAAGAATGAGTACATGAGAGAGGACAGGCGCAGAGTTATGTAAACAAACCAGGTGAACGTAAGTTTTGTAAACAACAAAGTGTACACGTCTGGTTAGTGTACAAGTTACATTGTGTACAGGTTGTCTCTACATTGATATGGTAGAATAAATAAAGAAGAACACTCCCATTCTAATGTAACATCATTTTGAGAAGAAATGATGCTCCGAGTGAAGGCAATGGAAATAAGCCACCCTGTCTGACATTTTTGGGTTATCCTAGGTTCTCTACACATATGCTGTTATGTATGATAATCTATGTAACTGTATTTGTGTATACCTGAATAAACTTACATACATACGAAAGTAATAATTTTCTACAGTTACCCCCAGTAACACATTTTCTCTTATGTTAGATTAGAGAAAATGTTATTCTTGCCATCACTTGTACAAGTTATCTGGCTACCACATCTCATATTTATGTTTATTCTATTGTGGGGGTGTATTATCTGTATATGTTATGTATCATGTTTATTACATAATTTTGACCCCTCAAGGAAGGTTCCTTGATGTTGGTGAGGGGCTCTTGATTTAGGGAATTGGATCTGTGCTCCAGTTCCCCAAATTAAGCCTGAATGCCTTCCACATCCCCCCCCCAGGCGCTGTATAATCCTCCGGGTTTAGCGCTTCCCCTTTGATTATAATAATAATCAAAGGGGGTTGTAAGAGAAGTAAATGCGAGGGTCTTGGCAAGAGGCGTGGAGTTAAAAGATAAAGAATCACACACAAAGTGGGAGTTGTCACAGCTGCTCTTTGCTGATGACACTGTGCTCTTGGGAGATTCTGAAGAGAAGTTGCAGAGATTGGTGGATGAATTTGGTAGGGTGTGCAAAAGAAGAAAATTAAAGGTGAATACAGGAAAGAGTAAGGTTATGAGGATAACAAAAGATTAGGTGATGAAAGATTGAATATCAGATTGGAGGGAGAGAGTATGGAGGAGGTGAACGTATTCAGATATTTGGGAGTGGACGTGTCAGCGGATGGTCTATGAAAGATGAGGTGAATCATAGAATTGATGAGGGAAAAAAGAGTGAGTGGTGCACTTAGGAGTCTGTGGAGACAAAGAACTTTGTCCTTGGAGGCAAAGAGGGGAATGTAATGAGAGTATAGTTTTACCAACGCTCTTATATGGGTGGAAGCGTGGGTGATGAATGTTGCAAGCGAGGAGAAGGCTGGAGGCAGTGGAGATAGTCATGTCTGAGGGCAATGTGTGGTGTGAATATAATGCAGAGAATTTGTAGTTTGGAAGTTAGGAGGAGGTGCGGGATTACCAAAACTGTTGTCCAGAGGGCTGAGGAAGGGTTGTTGGGGGTGGTTCGGACATGTAGAGAGAATGGAGCGAAACAGAATGACTTCAAGAGTGTATCAGTCCCGTAGTGGAAGGAAGGCGGGGTAGGGGTCGGCCTAGAAAGGTTGGAGGGAGGGGGTAAAGGAGGTTTTGTGTGCGAGGGGCTTGGACTTCCAGGAGGCATGCATGAGCGTGTTTGATAGGAGTGAATGGAGACAAATGGTTTTTAATACTTGACGTGCTGTTGGAGTGTGAGCAAAGTAACATTTATGAAGGGATTCAGGGAAACCGGCAGGCCGGACTTGAGTCCTGGAGATGGGAAGTACAGTGCCTGCACTCTGAAGGAGGGGTGTTAATGTTGCAGTTTAAAAACTGTAGTGTAAAGCACCCTTCTGGCAAGACAGTGATGGAGTGAATGATGGTGAAAGTTTTTCTTTTTCGGGCCACCCTGCCTTGGTGGGAATCGGCCAGTGTGATAATAAAAAAAAAAAAAAAAAAAATAATAAAAATAATTTTGAAAAAAATATCATGGATGGATTAATGAAAATGTGTATATTAACGTAATATACGACATTTAATGAGACTCGGTGACTATTATTATTATTATTATTTTCTAATGTGACGTCACTTGTGCAAGTCGTCTGCTACCACATCTCATATTTATGTTTGTTTATTCTACTGTGGGGTGTATTTTATCATATTTATATGTTATGCATCATGTTTATTATATAATTTTGAAAAAATATCATAGATGGATTAATGAAAATGTGTATATTAACATAATATACATTTAAATGAGACTCTGTGATTATTATCATTACTAATATGACATCTGGAGACCTAAGACACTCTTACTGATTTTAATGTGTACCTGCATGCCAGCACAGTGTGTAAGTTTATTTAGGTACAGGTATACATAAGTATAATTATCAGAGTATATATAAAATATGAAATAACTTTTAAAAACACTTGAAATTTTGGACTTTCCAGACAAAATGGAGAGACTTAGGGCTTACGGATCTCACAGAGAATGTAAACAAACCGGGTGGGGGCGCGGTGACCGTATTAGAAAGTCAGGTGGGGGGAGCCATATAGTGAGTTTTGGTCATAATTTGAAATGACCGTATCAGCGGAACGCCGTAAAGTGGGGCCCTACTGTAATAATAATGTACTATAGCTGCCTTCACCTGTTACACAATGACATTTTATTCATTCTAGAGTACATATCAGGTTTCTAAGTTATTTATATTGTTTATTACGTCATATTAGATGAACTGTGATAGATAAATAAGCCGTATAGATGATATAAGCGAAATTATTCAAGGAGTATTTTGTCCGGTCTCCAGATAAACTCTCGTCCGCCGACGATACCACCACATGAATGACATATTTTATTCATTCTAGAGTATATATCAGGTTTCTATGTTATTTATAGTGTTTATTATATATTAGATGAATTATGATAGATAAATAAGCAGTATAGATAATATTAGGGAAATTATTGAAGTACAGAATTCCCCTGAATGGATTAATTGCACTTCAATTAATTTAAATGAGGAAAATTGACTCTGCAAATGAACAAATCCAGATGCAAGCAAGGTCATGAAACAGATTAAACTCGTGAATGGAGGTTCCACTGTACAGTATGTACAGTATATACAAACTAGCACACCATAGACATACAAACTATGTACTATAGTATATACAAGCTAGTACACTAGACATACAAACTACAGTATGTATGGTATATACAAACTAGTACACAATAACATACTGACTACTAACCCAAGATCCAAATAGTGAACACTGATGTAGTTTTCGAGCTGCATACCCATCAACACCATCCAACATTATTGAGATGGAGTAGAAGACAACAAATGAAGCAGGGGAGGTTGGTAGGATGCAGAAAGCAACCAGAAGGAACAAAAGACGTATGTAACCTGCCAATGTTTGATGTCAATTAATAATTATACTGTACAGTATTACTGTCACGTGCCACACATCAACGCTGTGCTTTATTTAATCTCATGTTGTTTTGTTCATCATAGCCCTTGCAGGAGAAGAAAAAGAGCACCAAAAGAAAATGCACATTGAAGGGTTTAGCAGAAGCTTTTGCAGACTCCAACAAGTTCCTTAAAATGTGTGAAAATGCAGACCTCAACACCGAAAGGCTTTCATTAAAAGAGAGGAATGTTCATGGTACGTTAACTGATTACAAGCAAATCTATGATGAAAAAACAAACAAACCATATGGCCTAGGTGTGCAATAGGCTGTACCATCTAGGATTGTGCAAGTACACTATGACATTCACACAACAATGAAATCATCTAACGATGCATTTCTCACAATGTAACCCTGTCGTTAAGCAATGCATGGCTCTACTTTATTCACTCAACGTAATGCAACATTAATTTACTATCAATCAATCAATGGATTATATGTACTAGAATTTAGAAAAATTAAATTAAAATAGTAATGAAGTATATGTAGAATGTCAGATATATAAATGGTTAATCAATAAAATAGGAATTCTATCCTGTATAATAGTTCATGTGTATGTGAAAAGGTCACAATAACATTTTAAACAATACAACTACTTCAAAGGGAAGGTACACTGCAGCTGAAGGGCTCATGATCCAAGGAAATTGAGCTACCTTTTCCTCCCTTAGAACAAGCTTGACAACCATCCCATCTTCAGGCATTATGCAGCCCCCTATGGGTTTAGCACTTCCCTTTGAAAAAAGTAATAATAAAAATAATAAACAAAGGCTACAGGATCATGTACATGTTAAGCCACATCGTTCTGAAAATGCTATAACTCAATCAGTAAAAAGTTTCACTACAGAACTTTTAGCCAAAGGAAAAAACCTAAAGTGTGAACCCATTTTGTTGCAGTACAGAGAGGCTGTTGGAGCATGAGCAAAGTAATACATGTATTTATGAAGGGATTCAGGGAAACCAGACTTGAGTCCTGAAGGTGGGAAGTACAGTGCATGCACTCTGAAGGAGGGGTGGAGGTGGGAATGCAGAGCCTGCACTCTGAAGGAGGGGTAGAGGTGGGAATACAGTGCCTGCACTCTCAAGGAGGGGTGGAGGAGGAAAGTACAGTGCCTGCACTCTCAAGGAGGGGTGTAGGTGGGAAGTACAGTGCCTGCACTCTGAAAGGGGTGGAGGAGGGAAGTACAGTGCCTGCACTCTGAAAGGGGTGGAGGAGGGAAGTACAGTGCCTGCACTCTGAAGGAGGAGTGGAGGTGGGAAGTACAGTACCTGTACTCTGAAGGAAAGGTGGAGGTGGGGAGTACAGTGCACTCTGAAGGAGGGGTGGAGGTGAGAAGTACAGTGCCTGCACTCTGAAGGAGGGGTGTAGGTGGGAATACAGTACCTGCACTCTCAAGGAGGGAAGTACAGTGCCTGCACTCTGGAGGAGGGGTGGAGGTGGGAAGTACAGTGCCTGCACTCTGAAGGGAGGGGGTGGAGGTGGGGAGTACAGTGCCTGCACTCTGAAGGAGGGGTGGAGGTGGGAATACAGTGCCTGCACTCTCAAGGAGGGAAGTACAGTGCCTGCACTTTCAAGGAGGGGTGGAGATGGGACATACAGCACCTGTACTCTGAAGGAAAGGTGGAGGTGAGAAGTACCATGCCTGCACTCTGAAGGAGGGGTGGAGGTGGGAAGTACAGTGCCTGCCCTCTGAAGGAGGAGTGAAGGTGGGAAGTACAGTGCCTGCACCCTGGAAGGGTGGAGGTGGGAGGTACAGTGAATGCACTCTGAAGGAGGGGTGGAGGTGGGAAGTACAGTGCCTGCACTCCGAAGGAGGGGTGGAGGTAGGAAGTACAGTGCCTGCACTCTGAAGGAGGGATGGAGGTGGGAAGTACAGTGCCTGCCCTCTGAAGGAGGAGTGAAGGTGGGAAGTACAGTGCCTGCACTCTGGAGGGGTGGAGGTGGGAGGTACAGTGAATGCACTCTGAAGGAGGGGTGGAGGTGGGAAGTACAGTGCCTGCACTCTGAAGGAGGGATGGAGGTGGAATACAGTCCCTCACTCTAAAGGGGGGGTAAGGGGGAATTACAATCCTCCCTTGAAGGAGGGGTGGGGGGGTAAGTTGCATCACCCTGAAGGAAGGGTGGAGGGGGGAAGTACATGCCTGCACCCCAAAAGGAGGGGGGGAGGAGGAATACAGTCCCTGCCCCAAAAGGAGGGATGGGGGTGGAAAGTACGGGCCCTGACCTAAAGGGAGGGAGGGATGGAAAGTAAGTGCCTGCACTCGAAGGGGGGGGTGAAGGTGGGAATTACAATACCTGCCCTCTGAAGGGGGGGTGGGGTGGAAAGAGTGCATGCACCCTGAAGGAAGGGGGGGTGGGAAGTAAAAATGCATGCACTTTGAAGGGGGGAGGGGTGGAAATTTCTGCATTTCTAAACTGTAGTTTTGGCATCCTCGGGAAAAGAAAGTGATGGAGTAAATAAAAGAAGCATTTCTTTTTCAGGTCCCCCCGCCTTTTTTGGGAAAGGGCCGATGTTAAAAATATAAAATAACAAAGCTAGCTACTTTACACTTTTTCCTAGTAGAATGATTTTTTTTAAAATGGATATTCAATAATTAATGCAGTTTTAAAGAAAAACAATTACCATTATAACTTTTTTTTTTTTTTTTTTTTTTATCACCCCGGGCCCCGTTCCCCCAAGGGCGGGGTCCCCCGAAAAAAAAAGTTTTCACCATATTCACTCCATACGTCTTGCCGAAGGGTGCTTTAACTACAGTTTTAAACTGCAACATTAACACCCCCCCTTCAGGTGCAGGCACTGTACTTCCCCATCTCCGGACAAAAATCCGCCTGCCGGTTTCCCTGAATCCCTTCATAAATTTTACTTTGCTACACCCCAAACACACGTCAAGTTTTAAAAACCATTTGTCTCCTTTTCCTCCTTCAAACACGCTCAAGCTGCCTGCGGAAGTCCAACCCCCTCCCCAAAAAAAACCTCCTTGCCCCCCTCCCTCCAACCCTTTCCCTAGGCCGACCCCTACCCCGCCTTCCTTCCACTACAGACTGATACCCTTTTGAAGTCATTCTGTTTCCTCCATTTCTCTACATGTCCCGAACCACCCAAAAACCCCTTCCCTCACCCCCTTTGGACAACTTTTGGGGAACCCGCACCTCCTCCTAATTTCCCAAAACTACAATTCTCTGATTATATTCACACCACACATTGCCCTCAACATGCATCCCACTGCCTCCACCTTCTTCGCTGAAACATTCATCACCCCCTTCACCCCCATATAAAGCTTTGGTAAAACTTACTCTCTTTACTTCCCCTTTTGCCCCCAAAGGGACAAAGTTCTTTGTCTCCACAGACTCCTAAGTGAAAACCACTCCCCTTTTTTTTTTCCCCCCACAATTCTATGATTCACCTCATCTTTCATAGACCATCCGCTGAAAAACTCCACTCCCAAATATTGAATACGTTCCCCCCTCCATACTCTCTCCCCCAACTGAATTCAATTTTATCACCTAATCTTTTTGTTTTTCCTCAAACCTTTTCTCTTTCCTGTATTTACCTTTAATTTTCTTCTTTTGCAACCCTACCAAAATTTATCCCCCAATCTCTGCAACTTTTCTTTAAATCTCCCAAAAGCACGTGTCATCGCAAAGAGCAGCTGTGACAACTCCCCCTTTGTGGTGATTCTTTTTCTTTTAACTCCCCCCCCTTGCCAAAACCCTTTCTTTTTCTTCTCTTACAACCCCATCTATAAAAATTAAAACAACCACGGTGACATCCCCACATCCCTTTTCAAGCCTACTTTTTCTGGGAAAAAAATTTTCCCCCTTTCCTCATACTCTAACTTACCCCAAATCCTCGTAAAAAAATCTTCACTGCTTTTAGTAACCTACCTCCTACACCATACACTTGCAACATCTGCCACATTGCCCCCCATCCCCCTGTCATACGCCTTTTTTCCCAAAAACCATAAATGCCACAAAGACCTCTTTAGCTTTTTTAAATACGTTCACTTTTATGTTTCACGTAAAAACCCTGACCCACCCCCACCCTTTCCTAAAGCCTCCTTTTCATCTGCTACCATTCTCCCTCTTTCTCTTAAAAATTTTTCTAAAACTCTACCATACACTTTACCGGGAATCAACAGACTTTTCCCCCCATAATTTTTGCACCTCTTTTTTCCCCTTTTTCTTTTTATACAAAGGAACTATGCATGCTCTCTGCCAACCTAGGGACCTTACCCTTTCCCCACATTTATTAAATAATGCACCAACCACTCCCCAAAAATATATCCCCACCTGCTTTTAACATTTCTATCTTTATCCCCTCAATCCGGCTGCCTTACCCCCTTTCATTTTACCTACTGCCTCACGAACTTCCCCCCCACTCACAACTGGCTCTTCCCCACGCCTACAAGAATGTAATTCTCCATGCCCTAAACACGAAATCACAGGCTTCCCTACTTCAATTCACCAACATTTAACAATCCTCAAAATAATTCCTTCCTTCTTCCCAATGACCTCTAACTCTCCATTTTAAATAACTCTCCTCCCTATTTTTAACTGACAAATCAATTTGTTCCTAGGGGCTTCTTAACATGTTAATCTCACATCCAAACTTTTTTCTTATTTTCAACAAAATTGTGTGGATAACTACTCACCCACTTCCCTCATTTGCTCTCTTTTTATCATTGCTTCACCACTCTCATAACTTCTCTCTTTTACCTCCATATACTCCTTCCCTCCTTGCATCACTTCACTTGTAGACTCTTCTCATAGCAAACCTTTTTCTCCCCTTACTACTCTCTTTACATCATCATTCCACCAATCGCTCCTCTTCCCTCCTGCTCCTCCACTTTCCTGAAACACAAACTTCTGCTGAACACTCTAACACTACATTTTTAAACCTACCCCATACCTCTTCGACCCACATTGCCCTTGCTCTCATTAGCCCATCTATCCTCCAATAGCTGTTTATCTCTTACCCTAACTGCCTCCTCTTTTAGTTTATAAACCTTCACCTCTCTCTTCCCTGATGCTTCTATTCTCCTTGTATCCCATCTACCTTTTACTCTCAGTGTAGCTACAACTAGAAAGTGATCTGATATATCTGTGGCCCCTCTATAAACATGTACATAACTTATTATCACATTATATAGCCTCCATTTTTAAGTTTGAGTAGAAAAAGATATAAATGCTGGGTGGATTTTCAAAGTTACGTTTTGAAACCTGTTGTACATGTGGTCTATGATACAAAATTTCTTTTATTCTAGAGACAACATACAGCCTTTTGTTGTTCATTTGATATATAGTGAATTTATCAAGCAAAACAGTGCAAACAACCAAAGAAAATTTTTTTGAAGAGATTAATTCGAGTACTAAACAAGTAACTTTAAATTCCTTCTAACTGCTGTGAGGTAATTCTCTCAAGGAATACACACTTAATTTCATACTATGCCTTATTTTGGCTATTGAGGTATTCTGGATTAGTATACAAAGCCTCTCCTCACTTAACTACAGAAGCTCTGTTCCTAAGAACCACTCGTTAACAAATTCGTTGCTAAGTGAGGAGCATACTATAACGTATGGGTATTGTGTCAACCATCTTTGATAAACTGTTTAAAGACACCTTTGCAACCATTTATAACAATTTCTATATAGTTTTTAATTTTTATAACATAGTGTACTGTATATTGAAATAAACAAATATAGGAAATCACTCTAATATATATTAATAGAGATAAAATACTGGACAGAGAGACTATTTTAAGTCCCGAGGCATCAGTAATCAAGTACAATCGCTAAGTAGGAAGAGGCGTTGTACAACGAGGACTTTCCGCTTTATAACAGCTGCATTCGCTGATGCAGTGCTTTCAATTATACACATTTCTTCATTATTCAGCATTCCTAAAACCCCAAAAAAAAAAATAAAAAAATAAAATATATTCAACCCTCACTCACTGTAAATTAGGATGAAAATATTATTTAAGGTAAGTAATTGTTTTTCCAAGGGTAAGTGGAACAGAATTTCTTCTCCGTAAGCCATGTGTGTTTGTAAGAGGCGACAAAAAGTGCCGGGAGCAAGTGCTAGTAACCCTTTCTCCTGTATAAATTACTAAATTTAAAAAGAGAAACTTCTGTTTTTCTTTTTGGGCCACCCTGCCTGGTGGGATAAGCCGGGCGTGTTAAAGGGAAGAATAATGTGTGTACGTACTGTATATGCATATTTAAGGCTGAGTTCTATTACTCAGTTAACATATTATAATCATATTATCAGGCTTTTATACACATTTGAAAGTGAAAAAAAAGGCTTTTCTACTTTATAGCAATTTTGTTTTTACACAGTAGTCTGGGACCTAACATGCTGTATAATGGGGCCCTCCTATAGTTTATCATTTTTTTAACATGCTGGCCGTCTTCCACCGAGGCGGGTGACCCAAAGAAAAGAAACTTTTTACCTCATTCACACGATCACTGTCTTGCAGAGGTGCACAGATACAAATTTTTAGATGTCACTCTAAACAGTAAATAGCCCAAACCCCTCCAGGACTCAAGTCCGGCTAAACCAGTTTCCATAATCCCTTCATAAAATGTTACCATCCTGCTCACACTCCAACAGCTTGTCAAGTCCAAAAACCATTTACTCCACTCACTCTTATCTAACACACTTCCATATGCTTGCTGTATGTCCGAGCACCTCGCACACAAAACCTCTTTTTCTCCCTCTTCCTGTGCTTTCCAGGGGTGACCTTTACACCCCCTTCCCCCACTACATATTTATACTTGTCATTTGCAGATTAATGGCCTAAGTAAAATTTATTTTCCATAGCATTACCCAGTTTTACATGTTTTTTTTTATCATACATGAAAAAGTTTTTCACAATTAGCAATGCATTTCGGGCAAACTTAAGATTAAACTTACAATAAACTATCTATAGAACCAACGCTTTTTTTTTTAATACAACCATCCTTTCCTACCAAGGTAGGATGACCCAAAAAAACAAGAAACTTTCAAAAGCTGGTATACTGTATTACATATACAGTATACCAGTATATGAGAATTTAATGAATTTATAAGAAGCAAGGAGAAGGAATTATGTACAGTGTAAGAGACTGGCTTAAATCCAATATACCAAAACAGCAGATTATTTTTTACCCTAGTCATCAAGCAAAAGAGACATAACTTATTCCAGAGAACCTGGAGAGACTTGGAAGGCTAATCTCCATGGAGACTGAGGAACGATCATAATAATTTCTGTTAAATCTTTAAAAGAAAGATGTGTAATTTAAAATTGCTGAGACTAAAAAAATTCAGCAAATGTACAATAAAAATGGTCATACTTAAAGACACGTAACTACAACCCAAACTAAACAATTAATTATAATCACAGGAAAATGCTAAACCCATATATGTACATAAAAAAAAAATCAACACACATCCATAGAAAAATAAACAGCATGAAACAACCAATAATGCAGATAAAAGTCACATAAAATAATAAGTAAATGCACTCACAAAAATTAAAAAAAACCTTCACCCATTTAACCCTTAAACTGTCCAAATGTAGGTCTATGTTTTTTCAACATTTAAAATATGTAAAAAAAACATAGATCTTCTTTTTGTTTTTTTACATTTGAAAACATGTAAAAAACTGTGATCTACGTTTTTTTGTTATAATTTGAAAATATGTAAAAAATGTAGATCTACTTTTGGAGCACTACGCATGTGAACATAGATCTGTTTGGACAGTTTAAGGGTTAAATAAAAGCTAAAAATAGTCTTTATAGAGAAAGGGACTGAACACTTATCAGCAATAAAAGACTGAACACCTTATAGTAACCTCTCCACTTCCTTCTGCAGTCTCTAGCATAAAAATCATTTCTGTAGCCACATGAAAAAGTCTGCTTTACAGGCACATTATGGCAATAAGATACTCTGGTGTGACAAGTGTCTTATTCATCAATTCATCAACTCGTAAGTACTGCATGCCATTTTAAGAGTTAATACTGAACATAACTATGAAGCTCTACAAGCAATAGAGTGCAAGTAGATAAAGTTAGTTAATTTAAAAAAATTTCTTTCCCAAAATTTAAAATGATTTTACTGTACTCAACTAAAATTCCGTTATATACTTACCAATTATATTTGGAATGTAGAGTAAAACCCTATAGTCAGGTTTGTTTTCCCCACCAATACGTTTACTTGTTACACATGGTTGATTATCATCCAGTCTCCTCCTTTGGTTTCTGAGCTTGCCATTTTTTCTTTTTATGTAACATCTGAAGCATCCTAGAATAATAAGATAAGATTTTGTTCTGATTTTTAACCCTGGAGGGCTAGCCACCCAGGATAACCCAAGAAAGTCAGTACCTCATAGAGGGTTTGTCTGTCTTATTTCCACTGAGGTCTTCAATCTTGTTCCCCAGGATGTGACCCACTCCAGCGACTTTGCATGAAAGAATTATTTATAAAATCCCTTTGTACATGTACTGTAATAGCCAGTTCAAGTAATTACAGTGGACCCCCGCATAACGATCACCTCCGAATGCGACCAATTATGTAAGTGTATTTATGTAAGTGCGTTTGTACTGGTATAACATGGGGGTCTGAAATGGACTAATCTACTTCACAATATTCCTTATGGGAACAAATTCGTCAGTACGGCATAAACATTTTTTTTGGAGGAAAAATATCTTTTAACCCCGGGGGCCCACTGTACTTTTAAGTTTATTTAGGTCGTTACAAAAATTCAATTATGATACATACCTAGACACCTGGAGGTTGGAAAAAATCTTGGTTCGACCCCTGGCTAGTCGCGTATTGTTATTCACTTTAAAACCACTTGTTTTGTGATCCATTTACATAGTAAATGTGTAAATTACCTACAAACCCCCCCCCCCCCAAAAAAAAAAAAGTTGACAAAGTGATTATTTCCATTGGGTTCCTTGACCATCTAAATCCTTAAAAACAAGTTTAAGTACTGTACATCGCACTAAAAATTCCCTTTAAAAGGGAAATGAGAAATACGGTGCCAAAAGTCCCACATCTGTTATTTAAAATAAGGTAATAAAAGCAATTATTTAATTGCAAAATCCCCCAGTGAAAAAAAATGGTAATTTTCCCAAACATTTTGTGATTTCTCACTTAACATGGAACAGTTTTTTAAAGAAGTTTATTTAGTCATAGGTCCAAAGTGCAATTTCATATGTAAAACCCCGGGAAACCCCAAAAATTTCAAGTGAGTTTTTCCCTTGGGGGGCCCTTTAAATTTAAATTTTAAAATTTTAAAGAAGTGCTAAACCACAATGGATAACAGCGTTTTTTTTAAAATTTAAAATTAATAAAAACATGTAAAAGGGTGATCTGAACATGGTTTGTAAGTTATTCGGGTACAGGTATACAAAAATCAGTTAATAAATTTCTACAAGCAGCCCAGGTAGATACCCCGGATATTATTATAATAAGGGGGAAGCGCTAGACCCCGGGGGAAATTTTACGCGCCCGGGGGGGGGGATATGTGGAAGGGATTTTAGGCTAATTCGGGGAACGGCCAGATCCAAATTCCCAAATCAAAGCCCCCACCAAATCAAGGAACCTTCCTTGAGGGGGAGATTACCCGAAAACCCAAAAAAGTCATTTGTACGGACATTTCCCTTTTGGGTCCCCCTACAATGTATTGTGATGGATATAAAAAAATTTTTCCTATACGATACCCAATTTTTGGCGATATGATACCATAAAATTAGCAATTTTCCCACTGATAGTGAAAAACCCTTAAAATTAGCCAATACCGAAAATATCAAAATTGCCCAAAGGGTATCCCAAAATGTGCATGGGTATCCCGGATTTGTAATTTTTTTTAGGCACAGGTACCATAAGTAAATTATAATTAGGGGTAAATTACCCGGGGTAATCCCCCCCCCCCCCAAAAAAAAAACGTGAAAGTGACTTATTTCCTTTCCAAATATTCCAAAATATGTCATGGATAACACAGGATGTCACATATATCCCAGGATATCATGGATATCCCAACATGAAATCGTGAATATTCCAAAATGTGGAATGGATAACATCCCAGGATGTCATGGATATCCCAGTATGAATCATGGATATCATTGATTGTCATGGATAACCCACAAAGATAAGTACCACGGATATCCCAGGATGAGTCATGGATATCTGGATGTGTCACGAATATTCCAGGATGTCATGGATATCCCAGGATGTGTGGCAGGTAGGTGAAGATGTTGTACAGTAGAGTTGCTGCAGCGTCACCTTCGTTCACCTTCAACCAGACAGTGACTAACCTAACTCACTCAAGCAAACAGTGACGCTACATTACACTGCTTCACTACACTGTACTGAACTACACTGCTACACTAAACTATACTAAACTACACTATACTACACTACACTGCTACCTAAACTATACTAAACACACTATACTACACTACACTGCTACACTAAACTATACTAAACTACACTATACTACACTACACTATACTACGCTACACTATACTACACTACACTGCTACACTATACTACGCTACACTATACTACACTACACTGCTACACTACACTGCACTACACTACACTGCTACACTATACTACACTACACTTCTACACTATACTACACTACACTGCTACACTATACTACGGTACACTATACTACACTACACGCTTCACTACATGCACTACACTACACTGCTACACTATACTTCACTACACTGCACTACACTACACTGTACACTACACTACACTGCTACACTACACTACACTGCTATACTATACTACACTGCTACACTATACTACACTACACTGCTACACTACACTGCACTACACTACGCTGCTACACTACACTGCCTACACTACACTCACACATGCTGCACAAATACATGCACTACACGCTACACTGTACTACACTACACTACTACACTGCTACACTACACTGCACTACACTACACTGCTACACTATACTACACTGCTACACTATACTACACTACACTGTTACACTATACTACACTACACCGCTACACTATACCACACTACACTGCTACACTATACTACACTACACCGCTACACTATACCACACTACACTACATTGCTACACTACACTGCTACACTTCACTGCTACACTATACTACACTACACTGCTACACTATACACTACACCGCTACACAATACTGCACTACACTGCTACACTATACTACACTGCACTGTTACACTATACTACACTACACCGCTACACTATACCACACTACACTGTTACACTATACTACACTATACCACACTACACTACATTGCTACACTACACTGCTACACTTCACTGCTACACTATACTACACTTCATTGCTACACCTTACTACACTACACTGCTACACTATACTACACTACATTGTTACACTATACCACACTACACTGCTACGATATACTAGTAGTCAACAGAGTCAAGTCCAAGGCAGCTACGGTGAAAAGCTCTGTTCCACAAGGCACAGTACTCGCTCCCATCTTGTTCCTCATCCTCATATCCGACATAGACAAGGATGTCAGCCACAGCACCGTGTCTTCCTTTGCAGATGGACACCCGAATCTGCATGACAGTATCTTCCATTGCAGACACTGCAAGGCTCCAGGCGGACATCAACCGAATCTTTCAGTGGGCTGCAGAAAACAATATGAAGTTCAACGATGAGAAATTTCAATTACTCAGATATGGTAAACATGAGGAAATTAAATCTTCATCAGAGTACAAAACAAATTCTGGCCACAAAATAGAGCGAAACACCAACGTCAAAGACCTGGGAGTGATCATGTCGGAGGATCTCACCTTCAAGGACCATAACATTGTATCAATCGCATCTGCTAGAAATATGACAGGATGGATAATGAGAACCTTCAAAACTAGGGAGGCCAAGCCCATGATGACACTCTTCAGGTAACTTGTTCTATCTAGACTGGAATATTGCTGCACACTAACAGCACCTTTCAAGGCAGTGAAATTGCTGACCTAGAAAATTGTACAGAGAACTTTCACGGCGCGCATAACGGAGATAAAACACCTCAATTACTGGGAGCGCTTGAGGTTTCTAAACCTGTATTCCCTGGAACGCAGGAGGGAGAGATACATGATTATATACACCTGGAAAATCCTAGAGGGACTAGTACCGAACTTGCACACGAAAATCACTCACTACGAAAGCAAAAGACTTGGCAGACGATGCAACACCCCCCCAATGAAAAGCAGGGGTGTCACCAGCAAGTTAAGAGACCATACAATAAGTGTCAGGGGCCCGAGACTGTTCAACTGCCTCCCAGCATACATAAGGGGGATTACCAACAGACCCCTGGCAGTCTTCAAGCTGGCACTGGACAAGCACCTAAAGTCGGTTCCTGACCAGCCGGGCTGTGGCTCATACGTTGGTTTGCGTGCAGCCAACAGTAACAGCCTGGTTGATCAGGGTCTGATCCACCAGGAGGCCTGGTCACAGACCGGGCCGCGGGGGCGCTGACCCCCGGAACTCTCTCCAGGTAAACTACACTATACTACACTATGCTGCTACACAATACTACACTACACTGCTACACTATACTACACTACACTGCTACACTATACTACACTACACTGCTACACTATACTACACTACACTATACTACACTACGCTGCTGCACTACACTGCTACACTATACTACAATACACTGTATGCTACACAGTACACTAAACTACATAGTACACTACACTACAGTACACTGCACTACACAATACACTACACTACAGTACACTACACAGTATACTGCACTACAGTACACTACACTACGCCATACCATACACTACACAACTACACTACACTGCTACACTACACCGCTACACTACACTACACCATTACAATACACTACACAGTATACTACACGCCTACACTACACTACACCATACCAAGCAAAAGACTTGGCAAGAAAAGCAATATGTCCCCAATAAAAAGCAGGGGCGTCACGAGTATGCTAAGAGACAACACAATAAGTGCCTCGGACCTAAGACTGTTCAACTGCCTCCCAGCATACATAAGGGGGATTACCAATAGACCACTGGCTGTCCAAGAAGCGCCTGGACAGGCACCTAAAGTCAGTACCTGACCAGTCGGGCTGTGGTTCCTATGCTGGATTGCATACAGCCACCAATAACAGCCTGGTTGATCAGGCCTTGTTTCACTATAAGGCCTGGTCATGGACTGGGCTGCGGGGGTATTGATCCCCAAAGCCTGGTCCTTGTCTCCTGGTATACTCCAGGTAACTGC